CGTTTGATTTTTTGTATGTTTTTTAATTGGTTGATGATTGATTCTATCAACTAATTTGTCGATTGTTTGATTGTATTAACTTGATTCTTTAGATATCGAAAATTAAATAAAGAACATTATGTTAATTTAAGCGTACAGAAACGTTGCTGTTGTTCCAGCAAAGATCTTATTTTCACTTTACCGAGTGCCTAGTAGGTAATTTGCAGATTACCTAGATAATCTGCACATTACCTAGGTAATTTGAGAAATAGAACAATTTTAGCAACTTTAACGGATCACGCTAGTTAATCTGCAGATTAGCTAGGTAATCTGCAGATTAACGAGTTTCCGAGCTTTAGCGGTAATATATATATATAACTGTAAATGCTAATTACGAGAAAAACTTCGTTAAGCCCGATCCATCGCGATATATGACACGTGACCACCGTTATCTCCCCCTACCCTCGACCTTTCACCACCAAAATTTAACAGTATCAATGTACGTACCACCCCTGCGAAATTTCGTTATAAGATGTTAAAAAGTAACTTCTATATTATTAATTATTACAGAAACATAAAAAAGGCTTAATTTTGAAGGTACAGATGAGTTTTTTAAAAAAGTTGTAAATGCAAACAAAAAATAAAATATTCATTAAGTCTGACCCTACTGACCCTACAATGGCCTCTATTTCCCTGCCCCTGAATCTTTAACCACTGAAATTTAATAGCATCATGCTCTTCATATACAAGTTACCAACTACATTCAATTTCTTCATCTTTACCCAATTCTGAGATATTAAATAAAATAAATGACAACACAAACATATCCAAAGAATTGAAGTTTGACTATTTACAAAAATATTAAATTTTCGAGTCTATCACAATCCTTTTTTTATACAGCACCAGAAGTAACAGCTAACATGGTTTTTTTTTTTTGTTAAAGAATAACTTCTTAAAAAACAAAGGTAAACAAGTAAAAAGAGACTCACAATGTTAAAAACGATCAAGTGTCAGCCTTCTATTGTAGGTTCTGACACTTTACATTAAAAACTTGAAGAACTCTTCTCACCATACTGTTCTTATTCATACTTTAACTGCTTCAAGCCCTCTGGTCGTAATTTCGAGTTATCCTACTTATTTGCATATTTATACAATTTTTGTAATAACTCAGGATATAATTCTTCAATTGAAGTTTTCTTCAATTGAACTGAAAACTTCAATTGAAGAATTATATCCTGAGTTATTACAAAAATTGTATATCCAAAGAACTTCTCCTGTTTTTACTTCCCAGCTGTTATATACAGTATAACAAGAGTAAAAGTATGTCAGTAAAAAAATAAACCCTCAGATTTTTACATTTTTGAACTTGGGGCATTGAAGATTTAAACTCACCTCTACCCTCCAAATTAAGCTTTTGACCATTTTATAATAATTAGAAATAAAAAAAATTTTTTAACAAGATATAATAGATGTTGAAATTTTTACT